TGGTTTTTTGAGACAGGGTCTCACTATGTGGTTGAGACTGACCTGGAACTCACTGTGTAGCCCAGGCTGGTCTCGAACTCACAGCGATCCTCCTGCCTCAGCCTCCAGAGTGCTGGGATTACAGGCGTGCGCCACCACCCCCGGCTATTTTTCTTCTTTTTTATAGAGTAGTTTTTAAATCAATTTGAATTGCATGACGATTGCAGAATCTATTGGACTTTTCACAAATATCAATCCTGTCTAGATAAGACTGAAGCCCTTAACCCGGGTTCTAATCTTCTCCCCCTCCCCAGGCCTCTCTTACTGCCCGGTTTGGGTGGAACCTCACTCATGTTTAAGTGCACATTTCATTTCAGACTACTTTGAGATTAATGGAAAGGTTGCAGAGATAGTAAAAGAGTCCAGAGCTTCCCTTGCTCTTTCTCCGGCTAACGTCTTGCATAACTAACACATTTGTCAAGAATGAAAAACCAACCCTGGCCGTTAGTATTAACTGAACTTTGGACATTACTGGTATTTAATCAACTTTCCCATTAATGTCCCCATCCAGCCCTTTGCCTTTAGCCGTCTTCTCTCCTCCACTTCCCCAGATGGTTTTGTTGTTTTTTGGCACCAGGAATTGAACTCAGGACCTTGTGCTTGTGAGGCAGGTGGTGGAACCACTGAGCTAAAACCCAACCCTTTCCCCAGATGTTTTAATAATTACTCTTATAATGTGCAGATGTGAACCTGTCACTGTAGTGTGTACATTTACATTAGTGTCTCAAAATTCCAGAAACATTGAGAACTTTACATTTTTTGGCGTCTGGACTCAAACTCAGGACCATGTGCTTGCGAGGCAGGCAGTGGCGCCACTGAGGTACATCTCCTGCTGGAGAACTTTAATGTTTAAACATTAAATGCAGCAGTTGATTTTTCCAACAATAAGCTCTCTGTAATTTTCTTCATTCTCCAGACATTTTTCCAGCTGAAATTTAAAACTATGTATTCAAATATTCACCTGAAAAGAAGGAAAGAAAAAGACTAAGTTTCCCCGCAGAGCCATGAGTTATTTTTCACACGCCTCAGGTTTTCTCACACTGTGTAGAAATATTTTCAGAGTGTAGTGTTTGTTTCTTTTTCACTCCAGATTTCAGATTTGACATTCATTCATCTTGCTGCATGGAGATCTAATCTGTTCTTTGGGGCCTCTGTATTTCATCATTTGATGGAGTGAAGTTTTAGGTTTCTTTTCGTTTATTCATGTCCCTGTTCATGGACTTTTTGGTCCTTTCCTGTGCTTTTGATGTTTCACATGCTGTGCTGTGGTCTCCTGAGCGCCGCTGTGGGCTGCACTTTTTGTTGGATGGATGGACGTAGCCAGATAGTCCTGGGTTCTGATATTGCGGATAGGTAAGTGAATTAGATATCTTGTAGCCAGTTAGTCAGAGCTGGCCCTGGAGGCACCAACATGGAGGAGGCCAGCATTGTAAAAGGAGAGAAACTACCACACCTAAGTAAAATGATTAGCAGTGACTGATGTTCTAAATAGGTATCAATCGCCTGACTGGGGGACCAAGATCTTTCAGGAAAGATCCCTGACCCACCCCTTACCACTGAAAAACCTTGCTCCTTCCTTGTAGGCTTGCTGTGTGACTTTTTTCCCCTTTGGATCCCCATTTAATCAAAATTCCTAAGTAACTAGTCATAATCTTATTGGTTGTTCATAGTTCTGTCCACCTTGTGATGTTTTTGTGGGGTGGTGGTACCGGGGATCGAACTTGGGTCCTTGTGCTTGCAAGGCAGGCGGTGGAACCACTTGAGGTAAATGCCCAGCCCCACCTTGTGATTTCTCATTGGATCAATATTACCTAAGCGACTGTACTTGTAATATTACTAGTTGACTACAGTTTTGTCTCAGCTCGAACCCACCTCACCTCATGGCTTTGTCCCATAAAACACCCTTGAGAAGTTGGGTGAGTGGGCCACCTATTTTCTGGTTCTCCTCCTGTCTCTTAGAAGCTCTCTTTCAATAATTTTTTTTGGTACCGGGATTGAACTTAGGACCTTGCACTTGCAAGGCAAGGGTTGGAACCACTGAGCTAAATCCCCCAGGCCCCAATAAATTTTTCCTACTCTTCACCTCCACTGTTCCTAGAATTCATTCTTGGATTTTAGAGAACGCGAACTCACACCTCAGATATCTAGCAGGTTTGGAAGTTGTGTCTCTTCCCCCTGTATCACTGGGACCTGGGTGCCCTGGCATTCTTAATGTATGGAAATTCAAATTCTGCTTTCTGGGGCCACCGAAGTTAATGTTTGCCATGTAAGTACTAAAACATTCTTTTTGTTTTCTGGGCCTCAGTTTCCCCATCTGCACTTGGAGGCTGCACACAGAGGTGTTCTCTCAGTCCTTAAACACTGCCAAGCAGAGTACGACTGTTTCTCTCTGGGCTTGTGTGGCTGCTGCAGGAAGCATGGACGGCGGTCTCTCGGGCAGGAGGTCTCCCGGCTGGAGGACCAGAGGCCACGCGGCATCCAGGAAAGGGTTCCTGCGGCTTGAGGCCTGGTTTGTGCCCCTATAGGATGCAGAATTCCTAGGTTATAAATAACTCTCATTCCGGCTTTCAGTAGCAGAGGTCGGTAAACAGTGGGCCTCAGATTAGTCCAAGCACGGGTTTGTACCACACAGAGCAGGAGAGCAAAGTGGGATTCTCTATAGCCACAAATTCCGGTCTCCAGCTTCTTGAGCAGAGCTGGGATCCAGCCGCACTTCCCTGGGGCTCAGCAGAGTCTTCTCCAAACCTTGCCTCAGCCCCCACCACTGCCCGTTCCTTTGTCTCCAACGTGCCGCTGTTGTGCTTCTCGTTGTGCTTCCTCTGCTGTTCTCTTCTTCTGTTTATTATGATCTGAATCCGTGTCAGGAAATGAAAGACCAGAGTGAGAAGCCCACCTGCTGTTTCTACACGGGGGAGACAGTGAGGGGAGGTGTGGACGAAGAGGCCCGGTTTGTGGCCTGTAGAAGCTTCTGGAGGCCCGTGGGCCTGCCCTGGGGAAGAACAGGCGAAGTCGCAGGAACTTGGGTGGCTCTGGTCCAGCAGAGCGGAAACCAGACCCTGGGCCCCCATGAAATCTTCCCCGAGCAGGAGACCCTGTTGCCGGGCACCTACTCTGTGTCAGGCACGGTCCTAAGTACCGGAGTGAGCAGCGGGTCTCTGCTGCCCTGGAGGGTCCCGGCCGAGAGGATGGCATCCATCAGGGGCCCAGAGATGCTGACAGCCCTGGCCTGGCCCGCAAGGCTCTGGTCAGGGAGAGACCCAGGCAGGAGGCCGAGGGAGTCTTGGAGTGAGCAAGGACAGTTTCTAGATTCCTGGAGAATCAGAGCTTGGGGGAATCACAAGGGGCATCCTGCATCTGAACTGGGAAAAGCAGGGGACCGTCACGGTGAGGGCCGGTGCGGTGACGGGATCAGGCCTCGCTCTGCTCTCTCTGGGTTGGCTGTGCCCCAGAAGTGAGGGTGTTAGCGGGCAAGGCGGAGACCGCAGGCTCCGAAATAGAGCCTCTCTCGCCTTGCCTGGCCACAGGCTGAGTCACCCTGGAATGAGGCTGGGCCCGAGTGGCCTGGGGTCCCGCTTCCTGCCTTTGTCTGCGCCACCTTGGGACTTCTCCAGCTTCCAGGAATAGCGCCAGGCTTGCTGGGCAGCGAGCTGACTGGAGAAGAGGAGGCGAGGGAGCCTCTCACTCCAAGATGTCTTGGGAAGCCTCAGGCCCGTGCGTAGAAGGTCGCAGAGCTCTCTGTCCGTTTCCTCATCTGCAAAGTGGGATGTCAGTGTCCCCTTGGGGTGGCCTGGGGTCTGCAGGTACCAACAGAGCCTTGGGGCCTGAGGCCTGACTTGCCTGGCTGGAAACCCACCCAGCTCCTCCATACTGGGCCCTCGGGGCGAGCGACCCAGCCACTCGGCCTCAGTTTCCTTCTCTGTGAAATGGGCATCACAGAGCTCCTTTCCTCCTCGTGGGTTTGGGGAAAGTGTTCAGGGTGGGGCTTCCAGTGGCCAGGGCTCTGCTCCTTGGGCATTCTTTTCTTTTTTTTTTTTTTTGGTACTGGGGATCGAACTTAGGACCTTGTGAGGCAGGCGGCGGAACCACTGAGCTAAACCCCCAGCCTTCCTTGGCCACTCTTACGAAGCAGGGAGACATTTGGAAAACGGCAAACCTGGCACCTGAGGTGTGGTTGGCGCTCAATCTATGTACCCGGGGGGCTTTTTGGTCCGGTTTCCTGGCTGTATCCAGACTAACAGTGCCAGGCGCTCTCCGCCCTGCTGGGCTCCCCTTGTCCGTTTCACAGCCTGACCTGGTCCGCAGTGGTGTTGTTACTTCTGCGTTGTAGACCAGTCCTGAGGCTCAGATGGCCTCACACAGCCCTCACACAGCCGGGGGACAGCTTGGCTGGGATTTGGAGCCAGGAAGGGTGGTGCTAGCGTGGGCTCGTAGCCACCAGGCCCTGCTTCCTCCCTGCCCAGGGTCCTGTCTCCGTACGTAGGCTCTGACCTGGGCAGGTAGGGCCTGTTGAACCCTGGCTGGCCGGTGGGTCCCATGGACGCGCTGCCCCCGTGACCCACAGAACTTTCAGAGAAGCTGCTGAGCCAGGGCCTCCAAAGAGACCAGGGAAAAGAAGGCCCCTGGCCTTTCCTGGTGTCGAGTTTCCTTTTGGTTTGGGGAGGCTGAGCTTGGAACACTGGGCTCTGGGCTCAGGGGGCCAAGGGGCTGCACGGGGAAGGCACTTCTTTTCCCTCTGTTTTCGCCTCCGGGCATCTCCGTCTTTCCCCAACCCTAGTCCTCAAGCCTGGCTGTGCTGTCCTGTCCACCTCCTGTTCCTGTCCCACCCCCTTGGGTCTTGCTGGGGCACAGGAGTGGAGGGGGAAGAGGGAGAGAGGAGGGGACGCTCCCTGAACTGCGGTGGGCAGACAACTCCTGCTCTGAAGGCTGGGGTCCCAGGTGCCAGGCCTGCTCTTCTGGGTGGTCACGGTGACCTCCTGCCTCTCCTTCTTTCCTGTTGCCTCCCTCTATTGCTACCCTCTAGAAGCATGCTCACGTTACTGTAGGAGAAAAGACGCGACTCCCAACCTGCTAGATGTCAGATAGGCCTAGTGCGTGTTCCCCAAAATTGAAGAATGCTTTCAAAGGAACAACAGAGGCTAAGAGGAGGAAACATTTATCGAGAGAGACCACTCTTGAGAGACAGGAGGGGACCCCAACGTGGGTTGCCACAGACCCCACTTCTCAGGGGAAGTTGTATAGAGCAAAGTCATGAGGCAGATACAGTTGAGGCATGTGTCTACCATGTGCAAAGAAATTGGTCGGGTTTGTTGGTTTGTTTTTTGAGTCCCTGTGCTTATGAGGCAGGTGGCAGAACCACTGAGCTAAGTCCCTGGCCCCAGGCATTTCTTTACAAGACTAGCTATCAACAGATCTACTTATTCAGTTATACCTTTGAATTAAGAAAGCCTCCTTTTATTGTCTCTTGTTAAAAAAGGTCATGAGGTAGGTACAACATGGTCAAAATTATGATCATCTGATAAGACTATAAATATAGTCACTTAGGTGATATGGATCCGGTGGAGAATCAGGTCACGCAGCAGAGGTACATGGACACTTTTAGGAAGGGATGCGTTGGGAAATCCTGATCACAGCACGGGTGACTGCTGTCTATCAAGACTTTATTGGACCACGTGATATCAATTAGAGGACAGCCTTCAGTTTATTGCTTATCCCTCAAGGAGACATGTAGCCCTGGTCATTCCATCTTTGTCTTTTTTTTTCTTTCTTTTTCCAGACAGGGTCTGGAGATGTAGTTCAAGCTGTTTTGGTTTTTTGAGACAGGGTCTCACTATGTAGTTGAGACTGACCTGGAACTCACTATGTAGCCCAGGCTGGTCTTGAACTCACAGCGATCCTCCTGCCTCAGCCTCCTGAGTGCTGGGATTACAGGCATGTGCCACCACGCCTGGCTAAGTTGGTTTGAACTCATTCTGTAGCCCATGCTGGCCTCGAACTTGGGGCAATCCACCTGCCTCGACCTCTTGAGTGCTGGGATTATAGGCATGCATCACCATGCCCAGCTCCATTTTTATGTTGAGGCCTGGCCTTGGATGAAACCGCCTCTAGCCACAGTTGTAATGTGTTTTCATTTTCTGCTCTGACTCCCTTGAGGGCCTAGCCCTGTGTGACTGCCTATAAAACTTCGACCTAACTCAGCTGTCTATAATAACATTAATTCCTGACTCCCATTTCAAATCTTCCACTGGGTCTCCTCACACTCGGCACAGAAGTCAGGCTCTTACCTTGACATTCAGGCCCTCACCACCCTTGAGGTCATCTCCAGCCTCACTGGTCACGTCTCACCTGGATGTTCTCCACTCCAGTCACACCAAGTCCTGCCTTGAAGGACTCATCCAGCCTGCGCCACCTCAGGGCTTTTGCACATGCTCTTCTGCCTGTGGTGCTCTTTTCCTGCCCTTCCAGGACACCCCTCTGCACCCTTCCAGTCTTTGCTTATATGGAACTTCCTTGGGGAGGCCTCCTAAACCACCTCTCTGACCTGTTTCCCCACTGTCTCAATCACGCTTCTTTCCCGTTTTTTTCTTTTCTTTCTTTTTTTTTGGGGGGGGGTACTGGGGATAGAACTCAGGACCTTGTGCTTGGGAGGCAGGCAGCAGGTCCTTCCCCTATTTTTTCTTTAATGCATGAAATGTAACTCACATACCATACAATTCACCCATTTAAAGTGTACAATTCAGTGGCTCTTAGTATGTTCACAGGATTGAGCAACTACCTCCACTTTGAAATTCCAGAGTGTCTTCATCATGCCCCAGAGAAACCTCTGCCCAGTGACTGTCACTCCCCACTTCCCTAGCAACCACTGATCAACTTTCTGTCTGTGGATTTCCCTGCTCGGGAGTATTTCTCTTAAGTGGAATCCTAGTGTGTGGCCTTTCATGCCTGGCTTTGTTCACGTCCCCTCATGGTTTCAAGGTTCACGCACGCTGTGGCACGAATCCAGCTTCTTTTCCTTTTTATGACTGAGTGGTGCTCCACGGTGTGGATGTACCACATTGACTCGGTTTATCTGTTCAGCAGTCAAGGGGTTGGGCTTGTTTCTGCTTTGTGACCACAGTGCTACGGTTAATGCTGCTGTCAGGAGCCGCGTGCCAGCCCTTGCGTCACCATGATCTTCAGGGCCAGGGCTGCACTGGCGGCTCATGGACAAGCCTGACTGAGATTGGTTATTAAAGCAGGCCTGAGGGGAGGTCAGGGCCCCAGCTGCCCCGCTCCCTGTGTATCTCGGAGTTTCGGGCGAGAGAGCAGCGGAGCCAGAGTGAGGAGAGGCCAGGTTCACTCTGGCGCATGTCTGGGGCTCTCCACACCCCGACTGGTTTTCAGGGGCTCCCAGGGGTCCACTGTGGGTCCCAGCCCTACAGCACCGCGCTGCATTCTGTGATCTTCACGGAGGCTTCCCTGCCTCGCCCGGCGTGGCCTTTTCGGAGTGCAGCGGTTTACAAACCGCCAGATTCAGCGGCCCCAGCAGCGGTCGGTCTGGTGGGGGGGCTGGGCACGGTACCCCTGGCTTACAAGGCTGAGATTGAGGGGGCACCCGCCGCCTTTCCCGGGAAGCTGGGGCTGGGGCTGGCCTGCAGGCGGAGGACCAAGGTCCCTGTCTCCCCCCCTGCTGTCAGCTGAGGTCCCCTCAGCTCCTGGGGCCACCCACATTCCTTGCCTTGGGGCCCCTCTGTCCTCAAAGCCAGCAAGAAGGCTTCTCCCTCGGGTTGGACCCCTCTCCTGTGCTGATTCCCCGGCCAAGAAACGAGCAGGCCCATGCTGCATGCCCTGTTTTTTCTTTCCCCTTTTATCGTTTTTTTCCCTTGCCTCTTATCTTTTATTTCTAGCTGCTTTTCTTTTTCTTGGTCACTCTTTCCTGTGGCTTTCCTAACACTGTTTTTTTGTTGTTGTTGTTTTGTTTTGTTTTTTTTAGACAGAGTCTCACTACGTAGTGAGACTGACCTGAAACTCACTGTGTAGCCCGGGCTGGTCTCGAACTCGCAGCGATCCTCCTGCCTCAGCCTCCCGAGTGCTGGGATTACAGGCGTGCGCCCCCACGCCCGCGTTTTTATTTTTTAGACAGAGTCTCACTACGTAGTGAGACTGACCTGAAACTCACTGTGTAGCCCGGGCTGGTCTCGAACTCGCAGCGATCCTCCTGCCTCAGCCTCCCGAGTGCTGGGATTACAGGCGTGCGCCCCCACGCCCGGCTTTTCCTAACACTGTTAATTTCCATTTACTGCTCAGTAGGACTCCCTGCTCTCTTCTCTCTCTTTGTCATCTCCCGTTGATCAGTTTTTCCAATTTTACCTTTTTCATTCTCGCTCCCTTTACTAGGATGACTAGTATGGATCTCTAGATACCTGGTTACCGGTGTGCTATTACTGTTCAGTGCTGTTCTGTTGTTAGTGGGGGTAGTTGCTCCATTTATAGTAGATATCTGGCGTAGGTCGGTATGGAAGAAGCATTTAGTTTTTCTCAGGGTTCCTACTGTAATTATAGATCTCTCTTCTGTGGTTAAGGGTGGTACATTATTGGTCTTCAGAGTTTGTCACTATCATTTGTCTTTGATGCTATTATTGTTGCTAACTTTATTACTATAGCCAAGGTGACTTAGCTGTTGCTATCAATTAGCAACATAATTGCTATCAATTAGTTTTCTCTGGATGCCCATATCCGTCTTGCCTTGACAACAAGGCCCATTCCTAGAGAACTGGGTACCGAGCCTCAGAACTGCAGCCTCTGCGCCCCAGTAAATGGAGGTGGTTGGCTGCTGGGACGGAGGCGAAGGCCAATAGTTCCCTACACGCAGAGGGTACCGCTGCAGTCGACATTAACTAAAGCGGTCTGGGTACTAGCAACAAAGCTTGCCATAACCCGCAAGCCTCAACACAACAAACAGAAACCTGGGAGGACAGGGACAGTGCCTCACAGAACTCCCAGCCCCCCCCAAAAGCTGATCCGTGAGGCACAGACGGGGAGAAAGCCAAAAGTCACACACCCGAACTCTAAAGGAAAACAGAGGAGGTAATCAAAGAGGTCAGTGAGGCATTTGGCAAGCTCACAGAAGACAGAAGTAAACAGATAATGGGCCAAATAAAATAAATCGGCAAATCTCCACAAGACATCTATAAAAAGCCTGCAGAGCTGAACACAATGGTGCAACACATGAAAAACCAGCAAATGCTGGGCATAGTGGTACAAGCCTGTAATCCCAGCACTCAGGAGGCTGAAGCAGGAGGATCGCTGTGAGTTTGAGACCAGCCTGGGCTACATAGTGATTTCCAGGTCAGTCTCAACTACTAGTGAGACCCTGTCTCAAAAAACAAAAACAAAACAAAAAACAAAGAAACAAAAAAGAAAAACCAGCATAGAAAAGAATTAGAGGGCTGGCGATTTAACTCAGTGGTTCCAGTGCCTGCCTTGCAAGCGCAAGGACCCAAGTTCGATCCCCGGTACTAGAAAGAAAGGAAGAAAGAAAAGAATTAGACCTGAAAAAGGTTCTGAATAGAAATTCAGGAGATGAGAATTCATGTTGAAAGCATGGGCAGCAGAGGTGACCAGCGCGAGGACAGGGTGTCAGAACCAGGACACGAGGCTGTCGGCGACCTGTGAATTCATCTTTGCTGCAAAGAGCCCTGTCCCTTGTTACTCCTGGCTCCCCGGTTGGTGCGTCTATTAAGGAGGACGATTTTTCCTAAGGTCACCTGCGCCAGCTGGGGGTGCTCGCAGGTGTGGTCCCCGTGGTAGCCGTAGAATCCGAGCCTCCCACTGACAGCAGGACCATGGTTACCGCTGCTCCTCTCTCAGCCCGGCCTGACCTCCTCGCCCCAGGCTGTGGGAGCTGGCACTCAGGAGGTGGCCTGGCCCCGTGCCACTGAGGCACCTCAGATCTGGAGCTGCACGGGGCAGTCAGGGCCGGAGAGAAGCCGGTACAGCCGGCTGTGCTTTTCTGTCTCTCGGGCAGGACGGGCGTGTGTGATGACCAGAGCCGATCCGAGCTGGCTCGGAGAACACTGGGGTGCTGGGAGGCTCTCCCCACGCAGGACCCATGCAGCCCATTCTGTACCAGCCGCCAAAAGGATCCTGTAGACTCCTGTGTCACCTCCTGTGTCACCTCCTGCCCCTTCACTGTTTGACACTCGCCCTGGCTCCAGCATCACTGAAGGAAGAAGCCAAAGTCCTCAGAGCTGTGTGTGATACTCTGTGGTCTGCTCTCATCACTTCTCTGGTCTCAGTGCCCATGGCTTCTCCTTGCTGTCCTTAGTCCAGCCTCACCGGCCTCCGTACTGAGCGCACAGCTCAACCCAGGGCCTTTGCACTTGCTGTTTTCCTGGAAAGCCCTTCTGGATGCCTGTGTGCCTCCCCACTCCCCACTGGCTCTGCGCAGCGCCTGCTCCGTGGCGCCTGCCGTGACCTCTCCAGGGAAGGGACCTCCCTGAGGAGCACTCTGTCCCTTCTGTTTGCTGTGCTAATTGCTGTGTCTTCTGCAGGCGACCTGGTGAGCCTCCCCTGGACCTGGGCAGCATCCCCTGGTTGGGTCACGCCCTGGAGTTTGGAAGAGATGCCGCCAGCTTCCTCACGCGGATGAAGGACAAGCACGGGGACATCTTTACCGTGAGAGCCTCCTGCCCTCCAGAGGGTGTCTTTTTTTTTTTGTCTTTGTGCCAGGGTTGGAACTCAAGACCTTGTGCTTGCAAAGCAGGGGGCAGAACCACTGAGCTAAATCCTCAGAGGGAAGGGGATGAGCAGTTGGCCTCGTACCTAGCATGCGCTGTCCTCCGGCATCTGTCCATGTGCCAGCTGCCCACCCGTGCACACCCAGGGGCCAGCCCACTGTCTGTCCACCCGTCCACCCAGTGCTTTTCAGTGTCCTTCAGTTCTCCCGCATCAAGCTATGAAGTTACTCAACATCCCTCCTGTACCAACATCCACCGGCTGACCTCTGTCCATCCACCCACCTTCCGTCCCTCCAGTGCCCACGTTCTCTCCCCCACTGCTCTCCTGCCACTCAGCGTTTCCCGGCACCCTCCCACCTGCCACGCACTGATCTCTCTTTCCGTATAGTCGCCGTGTCCGTTCGTCCATCTGTCCACCTCTGTCCCTCTGCGTGCTGGAATTTACCCAGAATTCTTGCACTCATGTACCCAGCACCCACCAGACTTTCATCTCTAGATTTAAGTCTCACTCCCTTCCACTGATTTTTTTACCCATCTTTCCATCCCCTACCACGCTCCGCCCAACACACAGCTGTCTGTCCATGCAGTGTCTGGTGTCGGTCTTTACCCATTTCGGTCTCCGTCCACCCTCTCTCCCAGAGCCTCTCCACAGCTGTCACCCACCGACTCACCTTCCGTTTATGTTTCTTGTGGGAGACTACAATATTGATTATGTCTGAAACAGGCAATAAACAGTATAAGCTGTGAAGAGTTCACCCCACAATTGGCTTTTTTCATTTTTTTTTTTAAGAGTCTGGCCAAAGCCTACGTGCCGAGGTCAAAATAACTCACAGCCAAATTCCGTTCCCGCAACTAAAACCTTCTTACTAAAAAGACAGTGTTCTAATTACAACCATATACATTGTCTCTTGGGTTCCGGAGTCAACAACCCTTTATCTTGCCCTTTATGAGGCTTGCTGGCTTTAATTTCCATAAAAACCCCACGATTGTGCATCCTCACGCGTAGTTCTGTCCGTACACAGAGCTGGCCTTCACCCCAATTGATCACCAATAAAAATCAGTGGCTTAGCTGGGGATTTAGTGCAGTGATGCTGCCACCTGCCTTGTAAGCGCAAGGTCCCGAGTTTGATCCCTGGTACCCGAAAAATAAACAAATGAATAAAAAGCGGTGGCTTAGACTGACGGGCCTTTGTCGGTTACACCAGCATTGGTTGTCCTGACACCTCGTTTTCTGTCTCTCGTAGTTCTTTTCGTTTGCTCTCTGAGGCCTGCACCATACACTAAACAAGAGACCAAGACCTACTGCAGAGGTTTCCGGGAGCATTCAGGGTCCCCAGTGCGCCCGACTTCACCCGTCTCACTTTCACCCTCCGCTCTGCTCAGCAGCTCCTTAGCACCCTGCCGTCTTTGTACCCACTGCTCACTCATACACTTACCCTCCTATTCACCACCCTTCCGTCCTTCCCTCCCTCCGTCTCTCCACCCATCCACCCACGATGCACAAATCCGTACTACACTTACCCTCCTATGCACTCACCTACCACCCTTCCGTCCTTCCCTCCCTCCGTCTCTCCACCCATCCACCCACGATGCACAAATCCGTGACAGCTGCTGCCCTCTGAAGGCAGACCGTCTTGGCTGCTGGAGATGGGCTGTAACCAAGCCAGCCACGGTGGCTGCTTGCGAATGAGGTGGTAAAGAACACAGCCTTCGCTTTTAAAAGCACTGAGTTCCAGCCCTGGTTCTGCCGCTTCTCGGAAGTGAAGTTCGGGGTGCTTGCTCACTCCTGTTAGTGAGGTGCATGGGTGAGCGAGGGTTTTTCCCTGGCAGGTGGTGAGGAGGGTAGATAAGGACTCCGTGATGTCCCTTGTAGGGCAGTGCCTAGTGTGTGGGATAACTTTGGCCCTGAGAACTGTGTGGTTGTCTTAGTTACTTTCTTGCTGCGACAAAATATTTGAAACCCACAGGTTAAAGGAGGGAAGGTTTATTTTGGTTCACAGTTTGTAGAGGTTTCGGTTCATAGTCTTCTGGTTCCGAGGCAGGGCAGCATGGCAGAGGAGCAGCAGTCCATTGTGTGGCAGGCAGGAGGCAGCAAGAGGGAGCTCCTTTTTGTTCCATTCAGGCCACAAGCCTCTTGCTTGGTGCCACACCCACACCCAGGGCGGGTCTTTCTGCCTCTGGCCACGGCAAGAAGCTGATTAACCCAATCGTGGACTGTCCCAGTTATTGCATCAGGGATCCAGTCACACCCCAAAGCCCCCTGGGAGCGCTTGAGGCTTCGGGGGACATTTTCCATACAAACCACGGCAGTGGCTCATGGACGCTTCTCCCCACAGGTGCTGGTGGCCGGCAGGTATGTCACTGTCCTCCTGGACCCGCACTCCTATGACAAGGTGATGTGGGAGCCGCGCACCAGGCTGGACTTCCACGCCTACGCCGCCTCACTCATGGAGAGGATTTTCGATTTGCAGCTCCCACATTATGACCCCAGTAACGAGAAGGCCAAGATGAAGCCGTGAGTGGCTGCAGGTGGTCCCTGTGGGTGACTCGGATGGGTGGTCCAAAGCCTGGGTGGGGTGTGCCTGGGTCCACAGCAGGTGCACAGTAAAAACTGTTTCGAGAAAACAAAACCAAACCAGAGCCCTGCTGTTCTCTCTGCTGCCAGCAGGAGTCGCTGTTGGCCAACGGCCGTGCGCTGCCTGGTCTGCCCAACTGGCTATCCACCCCTTAGAGGTCCCCCTTTCTTGGCCTGCAGCTGCACCCGCAGTTTGGCTCAGCATGGACCGTGAATCACGGAGACTCAACAGAGGAGCCTCTCACTCTGCCAATCCCCAGACGGGGTTACCAGCCCAGACGCCTTTCTCCTGGTGGTGTCTTTCATTAGCTTCCTTGATCAGGGGATCAAGGATCTAAGCAGGGCCTCCAGGGACTTCAGGGAAGACGACGTCTCAGTTCCTTCTCTTCTAGCAAATGTGCCTCGGGCAGGGACGGGGCTGACTGTTCCAGTCAAGAGTTTAGTTTGGAGCTGGGCGGACCAGACTTCTGTCCCAGCTATACCTCTCATCAGCTATGTGGCCTTGAGCAAGGCCCTTTCCCCTGTGTTCCTGTTTCCCCATCTGTAACCTTTATTCCTCTGAAATTCGATCTGTTTGCTTAGCACAGTGAAGAGTAACCGTCATTGCTGTTGGTAGTGACAGAGATAATAACACCGGCCTCCTGCAGGCCCCCGTTTCCAGCGGGGACCATGGGCTGTGAGTTTGGGGAGGGAGGTGGCTGAGACTGTGTCTCCTTCTGGGACTGTACTTGACCCTTTGTCACCTACCTCAGGACCCTGGAGCACAGGGACCTGCAGTCGCTCACAGACGCGATGTACACCAACCTCCGCACCATGCTGCTGGGGGACCCCGCAGAGGCGTCTGGTGACTGGCGCGAGACCGGTCTCTTTGAGTTCTGCTACAGCAGCCTGCTCAGGTGAGTTCAGGACTGTCGCCGTCCCAGAAGGGCTCACACACTGGACTGTGTCAGCCACAGGCTGTGGCCAAGGGGACCAAGAGCACGTTGTGGATGGGGAAGAGTTTGGAATGAAACCCAAAGCCACAAGACGGGGAGGTGACACTACATCGGGGGCCCCAGGCTCACCTGGCCCAGCCCTTGGGCACCAGAGAGGGAGTGGCGAGCAAGACTGGGGCCACCTGGTCCTGGGGCGTCCTGACTCTGGATTTCATACATCACTAAAACAGGATGCTTGGGAGGCTGACCTAGGGCCTGGAGCTGCTGTCACACCCTGTAAACCTGTACTAAAAGAGGCACAAGCCTGTGCTCCTTCCTTCAGCAGTGCTAGGTACCGTCTTGGGCTCTATCCCAGAGCATAGCAGGGAACAGGCAGATGATTTCCTTACATAGACAGTGAACATGATCCACAGAGGAGTGATAGCATCTGGACTCTTTCAGCCAGACTGATGAGGAAGGGACCCTCAAAGATCCAACCTCAGAGCCGAGACCTAACTCCAAGGGGCCATTGGTGCCACCATCCTGGCAGAGGAAATGGCAAGTGCAAAGGCCCGGGGGTGGGCAGCAGCTTGGCAGGAAGGCCAGTGTGGATGTGAGCCCAGGGACAAGGTGGAGATGAGCTCAGAGTAGTTGGAGAATCAGGTCTCACTGGGCCTGGGCTGTACGGAAGGCTCTGAACTTTACTCTCTGCATGACATGAAGGGGCTTCAGCAGGGGCACCACAGGGTCCAACCTAAGAGTTTAAAGCTTTGGGCTGCTGCACGGACCCTGGGAGGTGGTGGGGCCCCGTAATCGACCAGGGAAGGAGCGGTGGCCTGGACTCAGGAGAGGGCGGGAGTGGGGTAACCTTTGGTGGTGGGTGGTAGTGGGGCTGGGCTGGGCTTGGGTGTGGGAGAGGAGCATCTTAGGGACAGCGCCCTGACTCCTGGCGCTGCTGTGACTGCCAGCTTCTCATCAGAGAGGGCGCTTCAGCCCCGCAGACCAGGAGAGCAGTTGTCTCAGGGTGAAGCACAGCACCCCACACATGTGCATGTGGGTGTATGTGTGGCCCTGGTGTGCATCTGTGTAGACGCCGTGTATCCACTCAGTGCTCACAACAGCACCGTGAAGCTGGCACCCTGTTTGGCAGAGGGGAAACAGACCCTATGTCATTTGCAGCGAAAGCCTCCCAGTGAGCTCATGTCGGGGACCTCCCACTGCCCAGCGACCCTGCCGTCCTGCGTCTTGGGCAGAGGCGGGAGAGCTGGGGCAGTTTGGACCCAGGCCGTCCAGTTTGGGCAGGGCGAGTCCGATGGAAATCTGGGCCTGGCTTGGGGCTCCTGCCTCCTGCCTCCTGCCTCTGCTCCTGTGGGCCTTTGTGGCCAGCTGCTGGGCGCGGTGACGCACGCCTGTGATCCCTGCTGAGGCAGGAGGAACGCAAGTCTGAGGCCGTTCCGGGCAACTTAGAGCCTGTTTCAGGACTAGGGATTGAATCTCGGGCTTTCACACTGGGCCATATCCCTTGTCCCCCCGCCCCCTTTTATTTTGTTTTGGTACCGGGGATCGAACCCTGATCCTTGGGCTTGCGAGGCAGGTGGCGGAACCACTGACTACATCCCTGGGACAGTGAGAGCCTGTTTCAAAATAAAATAAATAGAAAGAGCTGTAAGTCCGCGTAGCTCGGGCAGAGGGCTTGCCCCGCATGCCTGAGACGTGGCGTTCGATCCCCAGCCCTGGAAAAGAAAGGCAGGGAGGGAGGGAGAGGGCGGGATGGATGGCAGGACAGAGGCGGAGGTGCAGACTCAGCCCAGCCCGGCCTGTCGGACCCTGCCGAACTCACCCAGATTCTGTCTGCTTCCCTCACTCCGGCCTCCTGGCTGCCAGGTGAGCAGGCTGCGCAGGATCCCCGGCAGGGCCCCTGCAGTTTGCGTTCCCCACCCTTCTGCGTGGCTCCTGCCTCCCTTCATTCAACATTCGTCTCAGGGACCCGCAGGCCTTTCTTGTCCCCGCCGGTCGCACCTGGCTGGGGCCAGCTTGGTTTTTCTTTGTGGCGCTTAGCGCCACCTAGGGGTCACGTATGTATTTGCACAGGCTGTGACTGCCCCCTGATGCTTTGAGACCCAGAAGTCCAGGGAGGTCCCTCCAGAGCGCTGGGAAACCTCCGTCCCCCGAGTTAAATGCTTTGCATATTCGTCATGCACGTTGCAGGAATATGTGTACCCTTGTCACCGTGGCATGGTCCTTCCCCACACTGCCCTGCCGTGACCAGGCTGTGACCAGGACTGTGACCGTGAACGCTGGCAAATCCATGACCCTTTGGCCTCTCCTCTCACGGTGCAGCCGTGGTGTCACCTGGCATCTCTCTGACCAGGCTGCTGCCTGGGCTCCAGGTCTTTGCATAGACTCTGCCTCTGCCCGCACCACACCCTCCTTCCCCTGTTGATTCTTCAAGTCTCAGTTCCAGGTGTCTCTTCTCATCTCTGCCCCTCACCTCACACCCCTCTCTAGCCCACTGTGCTTCACCTCACCAGCCTCCTCAGTGCCTTTCAGCACTTCCAGCTCCTTCCTGCCACTGGACATTTGCACTTGTGGTTTGTGCTTTCTTGAGCCCCTCTCTTGCTCCTCCCACACGTTCCTTCTCACCCCCCCCCTCCAGTTTATCTGTGAGCCCTGCTTCATGGGCACTAGTGCCACCACGCCGCTCTCCCTGAACTGCTTGCTTTCTTGCTGCATGAGCACTACTGACACGGAACTCACAGAACTCATTTCTCTGGCCTGTTGTGCACCTCCCTGGGCTGCAGTTTTGGCACCATCAGACAGAGGTTGCTGTCTGTCTGGACTCCTGTGCCCAGCACACAGTAAGAGTAGTAGGTGCTCCACTGGTGAATGAGTGGCCGCTGGGGAGTGTTGGCTGGGAGTTTCCAAGAAGGACCCCTGACACGCTGCTGTGGTCCCCAGAGCCGGATACCTGACTCTGTTTGGTGTGGAGGCATCACCAGGCACCCCCGAGAGCCAGGCCCAGGACCGCACCCACTCCGCCGACATCTTCCACACCTTCCGGCAGCTCGACCTGCTGCTCCCCAAGCTGGCTCGAGGCTCCTTGTCAGCAGGTAAGCACCATGGGCTCTTTACTAAAAGAGGAAGGACCGGGGGCCCCACCATGGGTACTGACAGGGGCACAGCTCTGGGAATGTAGGGCTTGGGCCAGAGCCGCGCTTCCTGGTGGGAGGTCTGGTTCGACATGTGTGAAGTGGACCCATGGATCTGAGTGCGCGTGTGTGCGTGTGTGTGTGTGTGTGTGTGCGCGAGCATGTGCCTTTCCTTCTTTTATGTTATTTTAAAAAGTTTTACGAGTACCTCATGCTGCTTCAAAAAAATTCAAGCCATACGTAATGATGTAGAGGTTTAATAAGAGAGCTCTCCACATTCTCACAGCCCTAACCCCATCTTCCACAAACACTGTGGCTGTCTGGAGTAGATTCTGATAGTGCTTTCTCTAAACAGCTTCTTAGACTCACACACGGGATTGGGTGTTGTTGAGTAGAATGTCCAGTTTCATGCTGGTAGACATTGGAGCGGTGTCCACTTGGGGGCAGGTGTGAACATTTTTGTGCTAGTCTTTTAGTGTGTACGTGCCCTCGTTTCTCTTGGTTATCAGCCATAATTGTAGATCTGTTATCTTGGAAGAATTGTTCTGCCACTTTGAGCCGTCAGTGAGCCCCATGTTGAGAACATTTCTGGGTCAGCTTGGAAAAACCCACCTCATTTTTTTTTTTTTTTTTGGCTACAGAGGCCATCAGTGTTAGAAAAGACCTTCCTGGCTGATGCACGGCCAGGGGCCATGGGAACCACTGGGCTGCACATCTCCCTGGTCCCCACATCTCAAACCTCCCTGGCAAGCAGTATCCCCTGGGACCTTCTGTTCTTGCTCATAACACAGGTCTCTGGGTCCCCTTGAGGGCATTTGATTCCAGACCTCCTGGGGAGAGCCCAGAAGACCCAGAAGACCTGTGAATGCCCTGACAGGCTGAGAGGAGTGGAATGTTTGAGTCTCAAGCACTCACAGTGGAGGTCTGGGTTCAAATCCCTGCTCTGCCCTTTCCTGCTGGTGACTTTCAGCAAGTGAGTTCTTGCCCACTTCCCTCCTCCAGAGGCACAGTTAATAGTGGTGGACAGATTGGGCTTGAATAGCTTTAGGTCCTTTCCAGCTCCACACCCATATTTCTCTGCTCTCTTTGTGCCTCTGTGACCTTCCCTATAGGGCCATCCTAAAACTGTTAGGATGGGGTGGGGAAATGAGAAACGAGCACTACTTGCTGAGCGCTTACTTTGTGCTGTGAATCAGCCACATCAAGTGCTCGATATGCTTATATCATACACATATATGTAAATATCCAGAATGTCTCGGTGTAGGCTTAGAAAAAGGGATTGTACGGTATCTATTTACAAGTTGGGTTTTTTGTAGCCTAACACTATAGCTGTATGTTCTCCCGTCAAACACACATCTCTTAGAGGTATCTGCCTATGCAATTAGACAAGAGAAACCAAGATAAGATTGGGTAAAGAAATAAAATCTGTATCTACATCATATGTAGATGATTTGATAGAGTACCTGAAAAAAAAAAATCCCCGGAGATCAATGATAAAACTTACTCAAGCAGTAAAAAGAACCCAGAAAATTAGAAGGATATGAAATTAGCATAAAAATGCCAACATCTTTCTGGCCTTGGCCTGGCTGTGGCAGTATTTAGTTAGCTGTCTTACTCTGATGGACAGATATTTAGATTGTTTCATTTTTGCTGTCCAAGCGCTTCAGTCTGCTGTCTGGAGAGTTTACTTTTCTGTTTCCCAGAAGTGGCATTGCCAGGTCAAAGACCACATGCATGCAAGTTTTATTAGCAATGGCTGTGTCACTTCCAAAGCCATGGAGCAATTCATACACCCGCCCTGAAGAAAGGGGGTCTACCGTTCTCCAGCGGACGTTACCATCTTCCCACTTGATCGCTGATGTGACGTGCGGAAAGGGGTACCCGGCTTCCGGCGCGTTTCCCCGACTCTCGGGATGAAGGTCTTTCTGTGTTTCACTTGCGGACTGCACCTCCTTGGGAACCGTCTGTTCACTTTGCATCCTTCCAGAAACAAAGCTATTGTTGAATCAAATCCCCCCATCATTGCTGAAGGTTGCAGATAAGGTGAAATCTCACAGACACAGCTGGATTTACCCAGGCTCCCTCGGGCACTCGGAAAGCAGCTCTGTGCTGGGCGTAGCAAGGCTGCATTTCCCGGAATGAGCAGCAGGTGGCAGTGTTGGCAGACGGTTTTTTAGGAGCCAGGGCCGTGTGCCAAGCTGGCTCCCAGACCTTAATGTGGGGAGCTATGGTGTCTCTGGAAGAACCACATGGGCAGAACCCACGAAGATTAATGTGTACGTACTTTGATCTTGCACTGTCATTTCTAGGAATTGATCCCACAGAAATACTTGTACATGTCTACAGTTACACAAAGGTAGTCACTTGTCACACTGCTTGTGAAACGTGCACCAGCAGGGATTAAATAAATAAATCGTGCATTCATATAAAAGCAGACTGTGCAACTGTAGAACAGAGGGTTGTCTGACGCACAACTACTGCATTTTAAACGTAAAACAAACCCAGAGTGGTGGAACACGCCTATAACCCCAGCACTCTGGGAGGCTGAGGCAAGAGGATCTCAAATTCAAGCCTAGCCCGGGCAATGTAGTGGCTTACCAAGATCCTGCCTCAAAATAAAAAAAAATAAACCCGGGCATGGTGGCACATGCCTGTAATCCCAGCACTCAGGAGGCTGAGGCAGGAGGATCACTGAGTTTGAGACCAGCCTGGGCTACATAGTGAGTTCCAGGTCAGTCTGAACTAGACAGTGAGACCCTATCTCAAAAAACAAAAAAAGGGCTAAGGATATATAGCTCAGAGCAAAGGCCCTAGGTTCAATCACCAGCACCATAAAAATAAGTACATTAATAAATTAAGTAAAATTTTCAGATAAATGGGCTGGAGATGTAGCTCAGTGGTGCCTGTGCCTGCCTTGCAAGTGCAAGGTCCCTAGTTTGATTCCCAGTACTGAGCAAAAGATAAAAAGACAAAGGTAAAATGTAAGACTTTAAAGACTTGTCTCCACTGGTGAGGGCTCTCTGGACGGTGCTCCCTAGATCTCGGGACTCGGGCGGATAGCCAAAGGAAAACTTGAGTACGCAGTCCGGGTCCTCGCTGTAGGGTCAGGGGTCTGAAGCCCAGAGAGGAGCCAGGTGTCATCCCAGCCCACACAGTGAGGTGAGTGGACCTGTCCCTCTCCAGTCACCCCCAACTACTTAGACCTGGGAGGCTCAGGGGGAATTGGTGAACGGCCCCTCTTTGCTTTCTTTCTTTCTTTTTTTTTTTAATTGTTTTTTTGAGACAGGGTCTCACTATGTAGTTGAGACTGACCTGGAACTCACTATGTAGCCCAGGCTGGTCTTGAACTCACAGTGATCCTCCTGACTCAGCCTCCTGAGTGCTGGAATTACAGGCGTGTGCCACCACCACACCTAGTCCCCGTTTTGCATTCTTAAATGCTGTGATTACAGTGATACACAAGATTGTGCTTGGACCTCTAGGAATGCCCTGCTGGGTTAGATTTCTCTGTCTCTGGTCTTAGCTGTGGTCAGGAGCATTCAAGACTATCACCGCCTGGGGTAGTGTCTGTACCTCCTGCACCTTGTTTAGATCCAGTGTTGTGACATCATTGGCCTGGAGTGGGACCCGGCCATCTGCGATTTAGATCTCCCAGATGATTATCTAAAGGCACCTAAAATAATGGACCTCAGATGCCATCTGGGCTCCTTGCACATGAGAATGCACATCGTCTGGAATGGTACCAAGGGATTAAAGACAAAAGTATCAAGCCTATGGATACAGGGGAAATAAACATAACTCCTGACCTGCTAGATGTCAGATGCACTGAGTTTGTGTTCCCCGAATGAAGAAGAAATTCTGAGGAGCAGAGAAAGTTAAAAGTAGGAAAAGTTTTTGAGAGATAGCTCCTGAAAGGCTGGAGGGGAGTGGGAAGTGGGTTGCCACAGAGCCTACTTTTCTGAGTGTTTTATAGAGTTATAGAGTAAAATCACAGCCGGGCCTGGTGGCGCACGCCTGTAATCCCAGCACTTGGGAAGCTGAGGCAGGAGGATTGCTGCAAGTTGGAGACCAGCCTGGGCTACATAGTGAGTTCCAGAGCAGTCTGAACTACATAGTGAGACCTTATCTCAAAAAACAAAACAAAACAACAACAAAACAAAACAAAAACAAAAATGTGGGTACAGCATGCATCAAAGTAAAATCAAGCAATAAGATTACAAGTGCAGCTGCTCAGCTAATGTTGATCCAGGGGTAGCGAGGACATTTGGATTAACCTTGGTCGCTCATCTATAGCTTCATAGTCTTCATTTTAAGAGTCTGGGTTGCAGTGCCCCCCCCATGAGATAACGGCTTATTTATGTGAGAAATCTCAGAGGGCACCAATAATCTCAAGCTTTTGTTTACCCCTTAGGGAAGTACATAAGTCTGGCCATGGTGATTTTAATCCTCTTCAGATGCCTTTGCCACAGTTTTGATGTTTTCATCTTCTGCACTGACTCCCTCCGGGGCCCAGTGCTGTCAGGCTGCCTGTAATATTCCTACCTAACTCAGCTGTCTGTAATAAATACTATGATTTAAAAATGTAGCCAACCTGCTTTTTTAAAAAAGTGATAACACTTTCTTTTCTTTTCTTTTTTTAGAGACACGGTCTCACTATGTAGTTCAGGCTTGCTTTGAACTCACTATGGAGCCCAGGTGGGCCTCGAGCTCAAGATCCTCCTGCCTCAGCCTCCCGAGTGCTGGGATTATAGGCATGCACCACCATGCCTGGCCTGAATTTACATTTTCATTCGTACAACCTCCCGGTGATAACACAGCCCAGCCCAGCTGGTAGAACCAACTTCTGAAACACAGCTTTGTGGTTCAGAACCCTGGGAGGAGCTGGGTGTGGTGGTACAATGGAATTTGGGAGGCTGAGGCTGGAGGATTGCCTGGAATTCAAGGCCAACCTGGGCTACATAGTGTGTTCAAGGTCAGCCTGAATTATATAGGAAGACCTTGTCTCAAAAAAACAAAACAAAAACAATGATGAATAACACCCTAAGGAGAGAGTCTCTCGCACTTTGAAATTTCGAAGCAACCAGGATGGTTCCCACTTTCCCTAGGGGTGATGTTGGAGAAAACAAAGCCTTTTATTTGTGGGCATTTAGTCACGTGTGGCTTAATGACGGGATAATTCTGAGAAGTGTGTTAGATGATTTCATTCCTGTATAAACAGAGTAGAAATCTACATGCCGAGACTGTGTGATGCTGCTCACGACGCCGGCGGATGAGTGCTGTTCTGGGTGTGTCTGTCACCGACTGAAGTCTTGTGCTTGTCTGTGTGTAGCGCGCAGCCCTCCTGTAGGGGATCATCCTGCATGGGGTCCCTGGGGCCTGGCTTTAGTCCCCTAACACTTGCCCGTGCAAGACCCATCTTTGTACTTTTTAAAGAAATGCCCATTTGTTTTCACTGTTTGGTGGCTTTTCCAGAGCATGAACACCTTTGTTTACGTAAGGTTGAGTTGCTGGCTGGGGTCCGCGGGGCAGAGCTGACCTTCAGGGATGCTTTTGCGGTCTGCACAGCGACTAAAGCTTTTTTTTTTTTTTTTTTTTTTTTTTTGGAGACAGGGTCTCACTGTGTAGTGAGACTGACCTGGAACTCACTATGTAGCCCAGGCTGGTCTTGAACTCCCAGCGATCCTCCTGCCTCAGCCTCCCAAGTGTTGGGATTACAGGTGGGCACCACCACGCCCAGCTAAAGCTTCTTACTTAGATGCCAACCAGAAGGGGGGCTAAGAGGGAAGCACTAGAAAAAACAAAAAAAACGAACACTAGAAGATTCCACACAGACACCAGGAGTTTCAGCTGCTTTTGCAAACCCTGGCCTCTGGCTGTGCGGGGCAGCTTCTCTGTCAGTGCTGGAGGCGCTGGTGGGGACTGAGCCCCCTCAGTGTCCCCTCGCTGCAGGACCGGCAGGGCTTTCGTGCGCCACTGTGCCCAGCTGCTCGTGGTCTCAGGCGCGTGGTTGGCCTTGCTCCGGCCTTGCTCTTGCTCTGGCTCCAGTCCTGGGAAGGCAGAAGGCAGCTGGGAGTCAGTTCCTGCCGAATGGCTCTCTACAGAAACCACCTGCATTCAATGCTTGTTTGTCGAATGCCTGCTGCGAGCCAGGTGCTGGGGACGCAGAAATGAATGAAACAGGCAGGCTCCCGTGTGCAGGACATGAGCGGTGAAGGGCTCCCCTCGGGCTCTGGAGCCTCGTCCCCCAGCTCCACTAGTGACATCCAGAAGCCCGTGACCTTCTGAGGGGCTGGAGGCGGACAGAACCTCCACTTCCTGCTCTCTGTCCCCACAGCCGAGAAGGACCAGGCACGCAGCGTCAGAGGTCGCCTGTGGAAGCTGCTGTCCCCCGCCAGGGTGGCCGCCCGCGCGCTCCGGAGCAGCTGGCTGGAGAGCTACCTGCTGCACCTGGAGGAGAT